CTCCCATCATCATCGTCATCATCATCATCATCATTATCATCATTTATATCATTGTAATTATTTAACAATGTTATATTATTATTTTTGTTGTTGTTGTTGTTGTTATCATCATCAATTTTTATTCAGCTATTTATTATTCAGAATCAGTTACACATTAATGTTATGTTTATGATAAATATATAATAATTAAAAAGTAATAATAATAATATTAATTAATATATGTTATTATTATTATTACTATTATTTTTATTATTAATAATAATAATATTATTATTATTGTTATTATTGTTATTATTATTATTATTATTATTATTATTATTATTTTCAGTCATGTTTAGATGTCAACGATTGTATTTTAATTGAGACGTATTTCAAGTCAAATGATGTACTCACTCATTCCTGTATGATGATGATTGGTGGCGGAGGAGTTGGGTGTGGTCGTTTCTTTGTTGGAGGGCTCGCTGTCATGTGCATCGATCGCTCGTGTAAACTTATTTATGTATCATTATTGTATCATATGTATCATTTCAGTCAAGCAGACATTTCATCGAGTATATGGTATCTGTATCAAGTATCGATGTATCAGTCAACTGATTAATCAAACAACCAATCAATCAATCAACCATCCAGTCAACCAATTGATTAACCAATCAATCAATCAACCAACCAACCAACCAGCCAGCTAATCAACCAACCATTCAATCATCCAACCCACCAATCAAATCAACCAATCATTTATTCAACACACCAACCAATCATCTAACTATCCAACCAATCAATTGATTAACTAATCAACCAAATAATATATCAACCAATGAATCAACTGACAGATACAAGCCACCACCAATCAGCATCATTGGGAAGATCCTACGAGTTACATGCAGTGGAGTTCTGTGACACTGAGGAGTTTCACGTGCAGTGCCCTGCTGGTAGTGTTGTCGTCATCTGGAGTGCTAAGTTAGTCATCGTTCATTGGTGGCTGGTTGGTTGAATGGCCGGTTGTTGATTGGTTGGTTGTTGGTTAGTTGTCATTGATTGGATGGTTGTTTGCTGGTTGTTTGCTGGTTGTCACTGATTGGTTGGTTTTAGTTAGGAGTTGGCCCTGATTGGATGGTTATTGAGTGACCGTCACCGATTGGCGGTTTGTTGAATGATTTTCAATGATTTGCTACTTAAACGTTACTAATTGATTGGTCAATTGTACGTTTTTTGATAGTTGGTTATTGGTTGATGGCTAGTTGCTTGCTGACGATTGGTTGGTTGGTTGGTCGTTGATTGGTTAGTTATAATTGGTAGGTCAGTTGTTTGTTATCCGTCGGTTGATTTGATCGGACGGTTATTTATTTTTTGATGGTTGGCAGGCCACTGATAATAATAATTTAATTGATCAAGAAAGTTTTCGCCATCGATCATGACGTCATCATCATAATTTAACATGTGACATGTGGCGTCATCTTCATAATTTTCATCAATTTCGCACTTGTCGTCTCATCATAAATACATTGTTGACATCTTCATCGCCGTTATTTAATGAACGTCTGTTTATTACTATCATCATCATCGTCATCCTCCTCCTCCTTTTCCTCATCATCATCATAGTTATTGACATTATTATTATTATTATTATTATTATTATTATTATTATTATTATTATTATTATTATTATTATTATTATTACGATCATGTTAATTCTCGAACTTTTTAATTATGTCAATTAATTAGGTCAGCCATCTCACGGCTAATAAATTTCAACAGGCATACCTGGTTACACTGAAAAAACATAGCACAACGTAGTGTAACGTATCCAACACAACATAACGCAACACAGCAGAACACAATACAGGGCACGTACAACATCACAGGATAACCATAAATAAATACGTACGTGTGTACGTACATACGTTTATACATGATGCGTATCTTATACGTACGAATGATGTAGTTACATGTGTCGTTCTTATTTAGCCCACACATGTGTGTGTGTGTGTGGTGTGTGTGTGTGTGTGTGTGTACTGCTATGTGTGTATGGTACTCATGTGTAGTACTTATGTGGTTATTATGTATATTGTGTATTGTTGTACTGTCACACATAAATGATAGTTGTGCAGTTAAAATTTCATCCAACCTCGACTCCTTGTATGGGAATTTTTAAACTGCCGCGTTTACATTTGGGAAAAACAACAAAATGCTATGAAAAACAACTAAATAAAGAACTAACAATGACAACACATCACACAAACGCAACAACACACCACACAAACGCAACAACACACCACACAAACGCAACAACACACCACACAAACGCAACAACACAACACACAAACGCAACAACACAACACACAAACGCAACAACACATCATGCTCAAACAACACGTCTCACAAATGCAACAACATACAAGGACACCATCGTGCACACCAAGCAGGCAGCTTCTTCCCAACCAGACCATCTATCCATCCCCCCTAACAACAACAACTTCATCGACTACAACCTCGCATAGCCAAAATAGTTCTCCCCAACTGCCAACCTTCACCTCACTCTACTGCCACTCAAATATTCAATCACTTGTCGCTAAATTATTTAAAATTGAGAAACAAACACAAACCATGCCATCCACCATTCACCACCACCACCACCACTAAAACATTCCACCCACGATCTCTATCACGTGATAATAAGCAACAAATCATCACACAGTCAACCTAACATGATCCAACCTTTCTTTATTGAGACTTAATACGTTATTACACTCATCTTCATCTGTCATTCATTCAATTTTTTATTTTATACGCTTTTTGGTCTTAACTTGATACTTGTCTATGTCTACCATATACAATGTACATGTCTGCATCTCGTCACTAGGCAGTCTCATTAGTTTTCTCACAATTGTTACCTCTTTATACGTGTTGGTTTGTTTATTTGTGGTTATGCTTAGGTTTAATTGGTTTAATTTCTGTTATAACCTTTATTGTTTATGTGATGTATCGCATGATATGACTGATGAAGATGATTGTTAAAAAAAATATTAAAAAAAAAACACAAAAATATTTTTGTGAGCCAACAGAATGATTCAACGGACAACTAATTGGATGTTGACAACAAAACGTAGTAGAACACTACAATGTAACAACTATTAATGAAAACAACAACACAATGTAGACAACATAGACAGCAGCACGTCAAAAACAACAACGCAACAAAAACAACCATGCAACAAAAACAACAATGCAACAAAAACAACAATAAAACATAAACAAAACGTACGTACGTGTGTGCGTGTGGCTTCAGTGTAATGCATATGTGTGTGTGTGTGTGTGTGTATGTACGTGTATGCATTTGTGTGTGTGTGTGTGTTTGTGCGTGTGTGATTGTTCGCGTGTCATTGTATGTTTATCGTGAAGACGGCACATTGCTCCTTCATTTAATTGATTTTCTAGCAAACCGTTTTTGTTCTGCTCCTTGCATGATCACGCCTTTCTTCTCTTTTAAATTTTTTTACATGCTTCTCGCTTGTTTATATATTTATTACTATGAAGAAATAATTAAGTATAAAGATTTATATACATTTATAAACTGGACGGAAGGCTGGTGTGGTGGTTGAGACGCCTGTTCATGCTGCTGCTGGGCGCCTGGCTTCCAATGCAAACACCATCGCAGGCGATGTGTGGATTCAAAAAATCCAGACATAACAAATACATATTTACGCATACATGCAGACAAATATTTATTCATATTTACATGCATATAAATATATATATATATATATATATATATATATATGCCTCCTACATACACGTAGAGACAAACAAACACATGCACATACACACAAACAGACATGCACACACCGACACAAACAGATATGGGCGGATGCGTCTGGGTAGATGTGTGGAGATGCACCTCGGCTACATCAACTGCTACTCCGATGTGACCACTCTGATGGACGCCAGGTGTTCCGCGCTCCCCGAGTGCCACGTTCGTGTACCTGATGCCGAGTTTGAAGCTACCAGACCATGCCTCAAGGAACTGAAGACCTACCTGGAAGTGTCCTACGCCTGTGTCCCAGGTTGGTCTGTGTCTGTCTGTTTTTCTGTCTGTCTGTCTGCATGTCGGTTTTTCTCTTTATCTGTCAACTTGTTTGTTTTTCTGCGTATCTGTTTATTTCGGCGTCTGCTTCCGTCTAATTAATTTGTATTTTTTCATTCAATAAATTTTTCGCGAACTTTTCATTGATTTGCTTGTACGTCGAACTTGTGAGTGTGTCTGTTTGGTGACGGTGGCAGTGGTGATGGTGACGATGATGGTGGTGGGGACGTTGAAAAACACATACAAACACAGTTATGTTATTGGTGATTGTAATGACGACGACGATGATGAAATTAAAATAACATCGAATATATATACACAGATGTACAATAGGTTGTGTGTACAAAGTATGAAATGTACGGTACATTGGTCATGATGAATACATATTGGATGCTGGTGGTTATGACGACGACGACGACGACGATGATAGTTTTTATAGAAATATAATAAAATTGAAGACAAGTTTGAGGATGTTTTCGTAGGTGTATGCATGGATTAATTTCATTTTTCCATATTTGGATCTTTGATGAGAGGGAAGTACGGAAGAGGAAGTGGTTACTTCATCAATGGAAGAAGCAGAAATAAAAATGGCACCTGTGTTAGAAAGAAAGATAGTATCATAATGCGATGTTACATCCTGCCTGGTGCTCTTACGACATTAACATTCTACAAACTGATATGGGCGATGTTTTCGTAGTCCTTCAATTTTTAAGGACCATTCTTTCCTCTTTCACTACTTCTTAAAATATCAGATCTTGACAGACGCAGAAACTGTTACGGCATGCAAGGCGGAAAGTAAATAACGGAGAGATGTTGAAGCATAAAAGTATTATAAAAAATGAAGTGATGGTTTGAAAAGACAAATAAAATAGTTAATTAGTAGACTAGTTAATGATTTAGTAAGTTAGTTAAGTGATCGTTAAGAAAAAAGAATGAACAACATTGAGAAAATGACAAAATTTTTTCGAGTTCGAATATGTTGGAAGTGTCTTGTGACGAAGGTCTTATCCTGATATGTAGATTGGGCGACGACTTGATAGTTATGTTTGCGCTGACGAAGGTTGTGTGTTGTAGGTCTAATTGGTGGTAGTAGAGGATGGATGACGTGGTTGTTGTTATTTTCTACTTTCTTGAACAGTCTTGAATGGAGTGTGTTGAATATCTGAGTGACGGTAGGATATGATGCAGGTAAGTAGTTGAGGCGAATTAGTTTTTTGATGAGAGATTGTATCAACCTCAATTAATTTCAATGGAATCATAATCAACGTTGCATGGAATGAAGAATAAATTTCATAGTGAACATTTCATTCTATACAATTATACTATCTATTATTAACTTTTCGTTATAAAAATAAATGAATAAAAAAATTGTTTTTCATAAATGTATAACATATAAACAGCTTTTAAGTAATATAGAATTTTTCCAGAGCAAATTCTATATAACGAAATTTCTGTATAACGAATTTGTTTCCTGAAACCATTAAGTTCGTTGTACGCAGGTCCGACTGTGTTAGTGAATGGAAATCAACGAAGGTTGATTTTATCGTTAGTAGTCGAAGCAGTAATACTAATGCGTAATTGATGCGTAATAATTACAGTAAGAGCGTAATAGTAATGTTGTAGTTTAGTTGCAGCTGTAGTAGTAGTAGTAGTAGACGTAGTAGTAGTAGTAGTAGTAGCAGTAGTAGTAGTAGTAGTAGTATTAGTAGCAGTAAGGTTGTGTTACATGGTGGCGGCAAGACATAAATATTAGATTTGACGGAGTCGTATTAAGGATACACAGTTGAAAATGATTGATGGAAAAAAAAGAAAATGAATGAATGAATGAGTGAGTGAGTGGGTGAGTGAGTGAGTGAGTGAGTGAGTGAGTGAGTGAGTGAGTGAGTGAGTGAGTGAGTGAGTGAGTGAGTGAGTGAGTGAGTGAGTGAGTGAGTGAGTGAGTGAGTGAGTGAGTGAGCGAGTAAACAAAGGCAAAATATTTTCAAGGATATGCCAGTGAGTGGATGAATAAATCAATGAAGGAAGAATGAGTTGATTGGATGAAAATGGATCAATTGCTGAATGGATGGATGGTATGAAAGTTTATAAATGAATAGATAGATAGATAGATAAATAAAAAGTTAAATGTGTGTTTAAATGAATGGATAAATGAATGAACTGATGGATGGATGAACGAATGAACTGATGGATGGATGGGTGGATAGGTGATAAAGGTTTTGTATGGCAATTGAATCGGAAAATAAATAATAGGGGCGTTTGTTCTTTTATCTGGTCATCACCGAAAAACCGTTTGATGACGAGATTTTATTTTTCTCATTTGCTCCTCACAAGCTTTAACTTCAAAAATTTGAAACCGCTCATTTGACGGCCGTTGCATTCGTTCAATTGTCCCGGAGCACTTCTCGCCTTCAATTCCTCGAATGAGATGATGTCGTCAGTGACATGCGCAGTCCAACTTTTCTGCCCTTTAACTATTCTTTATTTTTTAAGAGGAGTTGGTGTGGCGGCATTTTTGTTTCATTTTTACAAATTTTTATTTTAGCCTGCTTTGACGTTAACGAAGATGGCAATGATGTTGCTTAGCTCTGTCGTTGTTATTGTTATCACTTACGCATCAGACCATCATAATAATAACATAACCGTTAAAATTTCAACGACTATCGCAAGACAGAAGACGAAGGAAAGGAAGTTCAAAATGTTAACCTGATATGAAGGAAGAGAGTTCGATAGCCCCTGCAGTCTGTAGAATGTTTAAAGGCTCAGTTAATTCATTGAGATGAGGTTCCCGTAATTTTTACGCTGCAACAAATTGAATACGACTATGACGACCTCAATTTATTTCCTGAATGTTTCAACCTGTCTGCATTAATTGGCGTGGCGTTTACCTGAAAGTAGCATGAAAACTTGTTAGAAAAAATTTGAAATTATTCATTGGGAGTTTGAAACATTTGCATTCATCATTCAAATCATATTAAGAACCAATGAAAGAGCTGTTGTACTGTTTGCGATTTGTACACTGTTGGCTGAGCACCTCTCTGTGTCTCCGTGGAGTGGTTTCCAAGAGTCTGACTGGAATAGTGTTGGACTGGAAGGAGGAAACTTAACTTAAAGGAAACGAAGAAATTTGATTAAAATATTACTTCGTTGTTACTAACAATAATAAAAATTATTATTTTTATTATATATTATTATTTATATTATTATTATTGTTATTGTTGTTATTGTTATTGTTGAAAGTTTTACATACCCGCTAAAATATATACACTCATACTTAACAATGAATAAATGGAGTTGTATCATTGGAAGGACTTGGGAGTTGTTTCCTGTTTTGGGTTTTGATAACGCGGACAACGCAAAATAAGATATTCCATAAAATAAAAACCCAACCATTTCCACAAAATCCAACTATTAATAACGATACCGCCACTACAACAACCAATTTTAAAACCATTAGTGTCACGTGTCACCAAAAAATTTTTTCATCCAGTTACCAGAGTATCGGCCCATCCCTGTTCTTCAGATGACGTCGTCAACACAAACATCAACGTTACCTCGCAATCGGCATATTTACTTCCTGTTTACGTTCCGCAGCAGGTCAACATGATGCTTTGTGACGTCAGCAGTGTCGCAACCACATTCCTCATTGTTGCGCAACCTGGTCAACGGGTCGAGTTACTGCTGCTTGATTTCTCTACCAACGCTAGAAAGGTGGCTGTTGTTGTGGCTGCTTTGGTTGAGGTTGTTGTTGCTGCTGCTATAGTAGATGTTTTTGTTGTTGTTGTTCATAAGTTGTTGTTGTTAATAAGTTTCTGTTGTTGTTGTTTCTGTTGTTGTTGATGTTGTTGCTTATAAATTTCTGCGGTTTATGATATTGTTGCTGTTGCTCTTGTTGTAACAGCTGTTGTTTTAGTTGTTTTTTGCCGCGATTGATGTTCTTATGTTTTTCGTATTATTGTTTTAAAGTTTTTTATTAAACATATTGTGAGGTTTTTTTAGCGCGCATGTGGAATGAATGGCGCAAGTGTGTATGTTGGCGCGCATGTTGTGGTCAGGTGAGCAGTCTGGTCGAATGTCGTATGAATTGGTTTTGTATGCAGGTTGGTTGAATGTTGGTATGGCGCATATATGGTGAGTATGGTTGAGAATGAATATTTCTCAGTTTGTTTAGAATTTTTTTAGTATATAAACCTTTTGAACAATTGTAGAAAAAAAGGAAAGTTAGTGTTATAATTTGGTGTTTTGGAATAGCGTTGTGAATTAGTCTTTGGTTTTATCGTGGTTGTATTGGTCGGACGGTTGTTTCTTGTTTTGGGATTTCATTTGTTACGGCTGGTAAAAATATTTTTTTTCGTTTATTTAGAACATTTAATTTAGTTGACTTTAGAAACATTTGTTTTAAAGAGTATTATTTTGTTTGCTTTAAAGAATATTATTTTGTTTGCTTTAAAGAATATTATTTTGTTTCTTTTATTTTTGGTTCATTAATAGAATTATTTCGGTTAGGCTTGGTTTGTCACTTTTAAAAACTAAAACATGTTTGAAGAAGACTTGCTAGCGGTCAATAGGGCCGGATTAACCGACCAGCAAGCAGGGCGCGATAATACTTCCGCCGGCCCGTATTTTCCGACCCGGAAATAAAAAGTTGTAAAGAGGCGAGTCCCGGCCAGAAGCAAGACTGCCTAGGCTGGCGGCGGCGGCGGCTGTTGATATTCGAGCAAAGGAAAAATTTCGCCGCGCGGCAAAAGTTCACAATTGGCGCCCAACGTGAGGCTTCTTCTTCAAAAGTTTTAAGTGACAGGTATAGCAGGAGTCAAGGTGATTACCCTTGTCAATTTTTAGGTGACGAGTAAATCACAGATAAAATTAAAATTGTTTCTCCCAAACTTTTAGGTGACAGGTATGGCAGTGACCGCAGTGAAATTCCTAATTCCAAATTTTTAGGTGACAGGCACGACAGGAGCCGTAACGAAACCTTCCCAACTTTTTTAGGTGACAGGGTTGGTTCTACCGAAAATATTTTAGATTTTAAGTATCAGGTTGGTCAACAGTCAGTACCGGAGGCAGTTGTTTGTAAAACTTCTCCAAGATTTTCAGGTAATGGGTTTGACGACGCACAAAAAATTTTCAGTTTAGTTTCAAGTCTGCGGAATTCGCGCCAGAACAAGTTTTACCAGTTTATAAGCCTACGCCAGCACAAAGGCTCTCTGTTATTCGTAAACGTAATAATGTTTCAAATTCTAGGAATAAGTGCAGAATGGTTCAAGAGGATGAAGAAGTCGAACACAGTCCTTTGTTTGACAACCACGGGGAATCACTGCATTGTCAGCCGAGTGTAAATACCAAACATCACAGGTTGGTCCGACATCACGAGCTGTTAAAACCAGACAAGTTTGATAGCACTGGGTGTCTCAAAACTTTTCTTAAGAAGTTCGAGATATGTGCTATGTATAACCAATGGAGTATGGATGACATGGAAGCGTATCTGTCATGTTCGTTGACAGGTGAAGCTGCTGAAGTTTTTTGGGACTTAGCGGGACTAGGTTATCAAGAATTAGTAACAAAGTTAGAAAACCGTTATGGAACGAGTGGTCACGAAGAGTCGTATAGACATGAGTTGCAGACTCTTCGACGCAAACCAGGTGAGTCGCTTCGTGAATTATCACAAACGGTAAAAAAATTAATGTCGTTAGCTTACCCGGGCGAACAGTCAAAATTGGCGGAACATTTAACAAGAAATTTTTTTTATTTGCTCTTAATGACGCTGATTTAGAACTGAAAGTTAGAGAAAGGGAACCAAGAAATATTGATGAGTCGTTACGAATTGCACAGTGCCTTGAAGTTTCAAAAAACTTAGTTAATTCATCCTACAGGTTTACCGGACAGGTTAGGAACATGCAGGATACAACAGAAAAC